GAGAGAGAGAGAGAGAGAGAGAGAGAGAGAGAGAGAGAGAGAGAGAGAGAGAGAGAGAGAGAGAGAGAGAGAGAGAGGAAGGGGGGGCGCGGCGGTAACAAGGGCAATTCGAATAGAACATACGTGCCTACTATTCGAATAGAACATACGTGCGCACTATTTCAACATGCGTTCTATTTGGATTCCTGGGACCGACTTTGAGAAATAGACTTTTTCAGGGAAAGTTGATTAGTACATACGTGCGTTTTGTTCGGGGGAAGACTATAGGAAGTACAAGTCAGTGCGAGAGCTTACCACGACCGTAGAGCGCCTGATCGTTGTCCCAGGAGTGAATCCATAGGTCTTATTGACCATGTTCTTGAGATGTCTTTCCACAGACATCAAGAACTTACTAGCCAGCGAGGCTAGGTTAGAGTATCACACGTTTGAGACATTCAATAAGAAGGCCCTAGATTTAGAGGCTACATTGGGTAGTGCTCAGACCCCTTTTACGGACGAGAGAAAGAAGAAGACTCCACATGAATGGGAGAAGAAGGGTAGTCGATTGATGATGGTTGATTCCGAAGGGAATCAAACTGAAATCGAAGATGTTTTTGAACTTGTGGAGGGTGCAGAGTTAGGCGGCGAGGAGAGTGTTGAGGGTAGCAACCTCGCTGCAATAGTTAAGACTAAGGCAGCGGGCCACGGCAAGGGCGGTCAGCAAAGGAGTCAGGGGCAGGCCGCTAACCCAAACAAAATAGCAGCTTGGGTTAGAGCAGGCTTGGATCAAGAAGTGTGGCGGGACCGTTGGTCGTGAGGTGCTTGCATAAACTGTGGTGAGTACGACCATACGCAATTTAAGTGCAAGAACCCGAAGGTCTCGCAGAAGATCCCTCCTAAGGGTGGGTTTCCTTCGTCTCAGTCTGTGGCCTCTACGAGCTCCAGATCGGGAAACACTTAAGGCCGGTAGAAGTTGTAGTTGCTTCTACTCTCGTGGAAGCGGGTGATGTACCCTCCCCGTTTAAAGAGTTGGCCGAAGCTATTGACTCCTTAATCACCCCGCAGACGTATCCGAACCCAACTATACTCTGTCCGTTGGATGTGTCTGAAGCCTTAGAGGACCTTCAAGGGGAGTGGTCGGCAAGGGACCCTCGTGAGTCCTGGGTGGCACTGAGTAGAGGTCCTAGAGGGGAGCATTTCGTTGTGGAAGTTGGTGTGGGTGGTAGCAAGTGCGGCGCCTTCGTAGACATTGGCTCCACGTGAAACTTCATAAGTCGTGACTGCGTTGACAGACTGCGCCTAAAGGATCGGGTGCAACGCCTTAGTAGACCAGTAACATCTACTTTGGCCAACAAAGAACGCATGTCGGTGGAGGACTACGTTAAAGATGTAGTCTGCACTTTCTCTTACCCGGGAGGAGAGATAAACCATAAGATATCATTCCTGGTGAGCGACAAGTTGCCCTTTGACATGTTATTGGGCATGTACTAAGTCGAGGTTGCCAAGCCCCAGTTTGACTGGGACAAGAAGGTGTTGAAGCACGAGTTGCCTAATGGGAGGACCGTTAGACTGGCCAAGTATAAAGCCAGTAGGTTAATAGACTCCTGTGGGTGCTTATTCGCATCTGCCTTCTATAACTATTATAAACAGAACCAAGAGGAAGGGATGTACTTAGTCTATGTCTCTGAGAAAGGGGAGGCCGTTAAAACACCCCCAGAGATAGAGACAATTGTCGCTAAGTACCCTGATCTGTTCGAGGAGCCCTCAGTAGTCGTAGACATGGAGGTTGTCCATGCCATAGAGATCATCCTAGGTAGCAAGACACCTAAAGGGAGAATCTATAGGATGGCTCCGGCCGAGTTGGACGAGCTTCGTCGACAACTGAAAGAGCTCAGAGAAAAGGGTTGGATTCGGCCTAGCACTTACCCCTTTGGCTCACCAGTCCTGTTTGTTCCAAAGAAAGGGGGAACACTAAGGATGTGCATTGATTATAGAGGCCTCAATGCCATCACCGTTAAGAACGCAGAGCCTCTACCACGCATCGACGACCTATTGGATAGGGTGCAGGGATGTAAGTATTATACAAAGATAGGCTGAAAATCCGACTACCATTAGATTGCCATCAAACTAGAGGACCAGCACAAAGCCGCATTTTAGACCAGGTACGGTCTGTACGAGTTTGTGGTGATGCCCTTTGGCCTTTGCAATGTGCAGGGTACATTCCAGCACGCCATGAATAGGATCTTCCATGACTACTTGGATAAGTTCGTCGTCGTGTACCTCGACGATATACTTATCTTTAATAGAACTGTCGAGCAACATGCTCAACATGTAGACAAAGTACTATCACTCCTTCGACAACACAAGTATAAGATAAACGCAGAGAAATGCGAGTTCGGTCGCACTCGAATCTTGTATTTGGGTCATGAAGTATCCTCGGACGGGATTAGGCCCAAAGATGCGAAGGTGGCTAGCATTAGGGACTGGCCACGACCCCAGTCTGTGACTGAGGTCAGATCATTCTTGGGACACCATGGGACTGGACCGACGAGTGTGAGGCAGCTTTCAAGCGTTTGAAGCATGCTCTCACGCACCATGAGGTTCTCATGGTACCCGACCGCAAAGGCCATTTGTTGTAACCACTGACGCATGCCAATACGACATTGGCGCAGTGCTGGCTCAGCAGGAAGGGAAACAGTTGAGACCGGTCGAGTACATGAGCAAAAAAATGCCATCAAAGAAGTTGGCAAAGTCCACCTACGAGAGGGAACTCTATGCTCTTTACAAGGCACTTGTCCACTGGAGGCACTATCTGTTAGGAAGGTTCTTTTACTTGAGAACTGATCATCAGACCCTCAAGTGGATCAAGACACAACCCGTTCTCTCCGATGCACTCAAACGCTGGATTGAAGTAATAGATCAGTATGACTTCAAACTAGACTATGTGAAGGGAGAGTACAACAAGGTTGCAAATGCGTTGTCTAGAAGGGCAGATTACCTGGTGCGCTGATTTTTGAGTTTGGCTTATCTGAGGACGTGACTCGATCTTTGGAGGAAGCCTACAAGGAAGATCCCATCACGATGGACATCATCAACAAACTGCAGGCCAAAGACAAGGCCACCACTGACGAGTTGTGATGGTGGATGGATTACTCTTTCTTGAAAAGGCAGGGTTCAAAAGGTTAATTGTTCCATCTATATTTTTAGGTGAGTGCCACGACCCAACGGGACATTTCGGCTACACGAAGACTCGTGCTAACTTAGTACAGCGATTTTGGTGGCCTAACATGCTGGACGATGCAAAGAAGTACGTACAAACCTATCAGGTCTGTCACCGGGATAAGCCGCGGACTCGAGCTCCGCTTGGGCTACTGAAGCCTCTACCCATTCCTGCTGGCCCAGGGCAGAGTATCTCCATGGACGCCATGGATACTCTCGTGACCAGCAAGAATGGCAAGAGGCACATCTTCGTCATACTTGATAGGTTCACTAAGTATGCTAGACTAATTGCCATGCTGGAGACCGCCAGGACTGAACATGTCATCAAGTTATTCATGGATAACTGGGTGCGTGATTTTGGACTGCCAAAGACAATCGTTAGTGATAGAGATGTGCGATTCACAAGCGAGATGTGGAAGAAGGCCGCTGAACAAATGGGCAGCCAACTGCAGATGACTTCTGGGAATCATCCCGAAGCAAATGGGCAGGCTGAACAGATGAACCGTGTGGTGCAGCATCTGCTGAGGTATTACATTAAGCCCAGCCAGGACGGGTGGGATGAGAAATTACCTCTCATCGCCAGTCTGTACAACAATGCTGTACACAGCACCACCGGTGTCAGTCCTAATCAACTGCATCTGGGATGGAAGCCTAGATCTGCTCTAGACTTCCTCCTGCCTGAAAACCGAACCGCTGCAACTCCTGGAACCATTGAATGTGGTGTCCAGTATGAGAAACTGTTGCAGCAGACTGTCGAACACATCAGGAAATCTCAGGAAGCCATGATTGCTTATGAGAACAAGCGTCGCCGACAGTCCACATTTCAGGTAGGGGAACGTGTCTGGGTCAAGGCTAGTGAGTTGGGACAGGAGTTTGGCATCTCTAGGAAACTAATGCCTTAGTATTTCGGTCCCTGGGAAGTCTTAGACATTGTGGGGAATGATTTGGATGGTCTCTCGTACGTCATTCGTGTCCCCGGTCACTTACGCACTTACCCTGTTTTTCACGCCTCCAAGCTTGCACCTTTCGCTGAGACAGCACAGTTCCCATCACAGAGATCTATGCTGCCCCCAACCATGGATGGCCACGTGGACGTCGACGACATCCTGGATCACAGAGACACGCCTGTTCCCAAGCCACCTGGCAGGGGAAGACCTCCCAAACCTGCGAGGGAGTACAGAGTACATTTCAGGCATCATACTGATCCGAAGGAAGATCAATGGATTTCAAGGGAGGAACTTGTCAAGACAGCCCCTCAGATCGTGGCAGATTATGAGAAGAAACTGAAGGGGAAGGCAGCAGCATGAAGCATCTCAGCGGACTTTCGAAGCTAAGGGGGATGGAATGTGAGGAACAAGCCCTCAAGGGGCCCTATCAGACATCACTAAGGCCCTCGGCAAGCCAAGTGCCCGCCCTAAGTGAAGGCGGGCCTGAATATTCGTCAAAGGCAAAATTCGACATTTCCATATGAGGGTATTCGGGCTCTCGCAGCACGCCAGTTGGTTGGGTAGACGTGTGGGCCTCACATTGCTGCGTCATACAGTTGGCCCAGGCCTTGACAGTTGCGCCTGGGCATACATACACAAAGCAGGGCCGATACATTGGGAAGCAGGCCTTCGGCCTTTGGAAAAGCAGTAGTGCCGACGCACCTGCCTGGGAGCCCTGCACAGATGCAGCAAACAGCCCAAGTCCGGAGACTTAGGCCGTGCCTAACTGCAAAGGGCCCAGGCCCTCAACTGTAGTCTCGGGCCTGGGCGCAGGGTCTGGGACCCAACCGGAAGCTTCCAGCCAGGCCACACGCAGCATCCAGGAGGCTGCCAGTTCCAAAAAAAGGAGTGAGACCAGGCATTCTGGCCAGTGCTGGCAATGCGGAAGTGCTGCTGCGCTCTCGCTCGATGCTGGCCTGCTGCCATGGGCGCGCAGTGGGGCGCCAGCAGCCATAGCCGGGCTGCTGGGCGCCAGGGGGGTACAGCGGGTGATCTGGTGGTCTTCAGGGAAGGAGGCGCTGTGTGGGGTAATCAAGGTCTGATTGAGGGTGACGAGATACGTACCTGGAACATGAAGAGAGGTCGGCTATCGAGTTGACAGTCATGTACATTGGTCTTCGAGAGTCGAAGTGAGCCTGTTGCGTGAACCAGCTGTAGGTAGGATAGTCGGACAGAGTAGGTTGGGCGCTGGGCGCCAGACAAAGAGGAGCGACTTTGAATTCTGTGTTGGTGTGGCCTACGGGCTTGGACATTGGCTCATTATTTCATTGTATTGCTCTATATGGATGGTTTCTCGGTGCATTTTGTACTCTCTGCTTGGATACGACTACCTGGACATCTGTGTGATTTCACAACTTGGTTTTCTGTATATCGTTGACACTCATATTCCTTGCACAAGAAAATCGAGAAATATTTTCTACCATAACCAAAGAAGAGCCTGCTATTACAGGCCCGACGCTCGCCACATCATCTACAAAAGCAGAGAGCTAGCAACGTCGGAGTATATATTGTCACAAGAGTATCAGAGCGCAAATGCGAACAAAAAGGAAAAAAGAAAGAAAAACAGGAAAATGTGAGGATTGAGCCCTCAAGTAGGGGCCTTGCCATGTTGTACATGTTCTGGGCTAAGGCCCCAGCAAGCCTAGTGCCTGCCCTAAGTGAAGGCGGGCCAGCAAATCAACAAGAGCCCTCTCGGCCAACATTTCACGAAGTGGGGTCTATACAGTTGCAGCACGCCAGTTGGTTGGAGTGCACCGAGTCTCGGATTTCAGCAAATGCTGAAATGCCCAGGGCCTCTGAGTTAGTTAGGCCCTGGGCACTCGAACGTGAGGCTGACAATGCATGCTGGGTAGAGAGGCCGAAATGCCAAAGGGAAAATCGGCCCACTATCTGAATCTGGCCGCAGGCCTTGAGAAGAGAGGCACAACTGCATTGCTCCGGGGCCCAACTGTATCAGGAAGGCTTCAGCCTCTGGGTCCCGGTCGCAGGCTGAAGGGAGGCCGCCCACATGCTGCTTGGGATATAGGCAAGCAGGGCGAGGCAGCAGGGATCTTGGCCAATGCTGGCATTTGCGGGCACGCTGCGCGGATGCATGTGTGCTGCACTGTGCAAGGCAGTGCTGCGCTAAGAGCAAGCAGGCCAGCGCTAGGCGGTAGGGCTCTGCCTGCACAGAGGGCACTGGCGGCCATAGCCTGGGCCGCATGAGGGTGCATGGGAGGTGAGGGCGAAGGTGGTACTTCGGAGGTGAAGGGCGCTGTGTGGGTAACAAGGGAGAGTGTGGGGAAGAGGACACGTACCTGGTGATGGTGGAGGTCTGCATTGGTGTTGACATCATCACTCGCTGGTAGTCAAGTTGTCTGGTTGCT